GCCCGGAAAAAGTATAGGCATTTGTCGCCTGATCGGCTTAGAAATCTTCCCAAGGCCGCCAGACAACCTGTTAACTTCTGAACCTCTCGGATGGTACGAGGCGACTGCATGTCGATGACCGCCTGCACTTTCTCAAGGTTCGCCTCTATTCCTCTCTGATTGATAAGGAATCCGAGAAATTTCCCAGAGTCAACTCCAAAGACACATTTCTTGGGATTGAGCATGACATGGTGCCGCCTGAGTGTGGCGAAAGTTTCTCGGAGGTCCGACAGATGATCTTTCTGAAGTTTAGACTTGACAATCATATCATCAATATATGCCTCGACATTTCTCCCAATCTGATCAAAGAACACAGTGTTTATCATTCGCTGGAAAGTGGCCAGGGCATTCTTAAGACCAAACGGCATGACCGTATAACAGTATAACCCCTGATCAGTGACGAAGGCCGTCTTCTCCTGATCTTTCTCCCATAAAGGAATTTGATGGAAACCAGAGTAGGCGTCCATAAAGCTCATCAAAGCATGGCCGGCTGTTGAGTCGACCAGGTTATCAATTTTAGGCAGAGGGTAACTGTCTTTGGGGCACGCCTTGTTTAAGTCTGTGTAGTCTACACACATTCGCCAGGTGCCATTCGGCTTTTTAACAAGCACCACATTGGCAACCCAGTCTGGGAAGTAACATTGCCGGATGAACCCTGCATTAAGTAATTTTTTAACTTCGGCGGCTGCCGCCTGACTTCTTTCTTCACCATGGTTCCGCTTCTTCTGCCTTACTGGCTTCTTTTTCGGATCCACGGCCAGTTTATGTACCGCCAGATCAGGACTGATGCCTGGCATTTCATGGACTTCGAATGCAAAGATGTCCTTGTATTCTTTCAATAGTTTGTGAAAGTCGTCACCCAGGTCCCTTAGAGCAGTCGTCCCAACCTCGATTGTTCTGTCAGGACGCGAGTCATCTAACATCAGGTCCGTATGCTCACCAGCTGGCTGAGGGCGGAATTCATCCGACCGCTCCTCTGCCAATGATTGCTATTTTCTGTCTTTTCTTGCGGCCCCTGTCTGGGATTCCTTTCTCTTCTTGCCGCCTGCTTCTTGAACAGGCGCACTCTCCTTGACATTGTCAAGGTCTATTTTTCCACCGCTCGACATAGTGGCCATAACAGTGGGCTTGACATCCGAGAGATAGCACTCTCGGGCCATCCTCTGATCTCCCCTTAGGGATCCGACTGTTCCATTATCCCTCTCAAACTTGAGCAACATAAGAGATGGGATTATAACAGCCTTGGAATTATTCAGGGTTGGTCGTCCCAGAATCATGTTGTAGGCCGAGAGTTCTTCTACTACCAGGAACCGGACTACCATGTGTCGTCCTTCCCCTTTTTCACCCAGGCGGATGGGTAAATCCACTCGTCCCACTGGGTGGACGACTCCTCCTCCAAACCCTACTAAAGGGTGGGATGCCGGATGTATGCAATCAGTCTGATATTTTAGTTTCGACAGACATTTGCTACAAATGAGATCTGAGGAGCTTCCGGTATCTATGAGGATTCGGCCAACTCTCTGGTTGGCCACTTTACATTCAATAACGATAGGGTCGTCATGCGGCCCTCTTACCCCTCCTAGATCTTCTTCAGTGATGACAATCTCAGAAAATGAATATTTGGAGGGCCGTTCTTGGTGAACGGAATTTACATCTAACCGTCTGATATTGTCTTTGTTGCCCCTAATAGTGGGGCCGCCTCCTGAGAAGCCGCCTGCAATGGTGTAGACGACTGCATCATCTGTATCGGAGTTGTCGGCCTGTTGATTCTTTTTGGCCGACTGCTTTTTTGAGGAAGTGTTCCCCGTAGATTTCTTGACATAAGTGTCAAGATCACCTTGCTCAGCCAGGCGGTCCAGATACCGCATGAGACTGATGCATTCATTGGTGTGATGACCAACATCTTCATGATAATCACAGAATTTTTCTTGGTTCCGGTTGTTTGCAGAACCCTTCATGGGGACCGGCTTCTCAATTGAGATCCGTCCCTTGATTTCCTTTAGGATAAATTGGCTATCCTTGTTAAACGCATACTTTGGGGAGTATGGTTTGAATTCTTTTTTCTTTTTCTGGGCCGGCTGTTTAGAGGAATCAGCCGCCCAGACCTCTTTTCTCTTCTCGTCTTTGTTTGACAAGTGTTTCTGTCGTCTTTCTCGTTTGTCGGACCTTCTCCCGTCTAACTGTTTTACCGTACTACAAAGATCAGTCGTCTGTATATAGGCTTCTGCTTCAATCAAGGCCTCTTGAAGAGTCGCCACCCTCTTTCGGACCAAATCAAATTTGAAGGTCGACCCGTCTTTGAGACCTCTGAAAAAGTCAGTATAGGCTACTTCATCCGGTAACCCTTGAATCTGTGTTCTCATCAGGTTAAACCGCCTGATGTAAGAACGAAGCCCCTCCTTCTCGCCCTGCTGAATTGTTCCTAAATCAAGGGTCGTCTTCTTCGCAGGGATGTTCATGGCGAAGTTGGAGGTGAATAAGTAAGCAAGCGTCTTGAAGTTATTTACACAACCAGTCGGCAGGTTGCCGAACCATTGTTGTGCGATTCCTTTGAGTCGCTGGGAAACACTTGCACCAAGTGGGATCATCCAACCCTTGAAGGTACATCAGGTTGGTTCTGGGTTAGTAGTGCCGTCATAGGCGCCTACTAATACATTTTTCACTTTGACCGGCTGAGCGGCTTCAGTAATTTCCTTGGAGAAGGCCGACGGTTGTTCACCAAGTCTAAGCAACCGTAGCTGTCAGTCCATAGGTTGGACATTTTTTGCTGCATGTCCACCAAACGGAGGTGGCTGTAAAAAAATACTGTTGTTGCGGTACAAACGGTAAGTTTGGTACCGCCTGGTCGCTATGAAAGCCGGACTGACGGGAGGTGCCGCCTGACTGACCCTCATGATACGACTGAGTATGCCTCATCGAGGTATTTCGCAGACTGTCTTGGAAGTTTGAAGTAGAGGCCGACTCTGACAATCGGTCACTCTTCTTCTGCTCTAGCAGTAGCCGAGCGTCTGTGTATGTTTTCCTCGACCCGTCCGCCTGAATATGACGAACAGGTTTCCTATTTCCTGGAGTAGGAAAACGGTATTTTGAGAAATCAAGGGCAGGTGGCTCCCACTTCCTAGATTTAGGATGAGGGGTCGCCTCTCGCCCTTGAACTGGCTTCCTCTTGCGTGAATTGGAGGGTTTCTTAGCCGACTGCTCCTTGTCCAGGCGGCTTCTTGTTGATCAACTCTTGAATTTCTCCCTTGAAGTCCCTCATGAAGGTCATGAGTTCGTTCCTTGTGATGGGAGCAGACCCATCAGTCGGCTGCTGCCGAACAGGCGGTGCGCCTGCTTGCTCGCTTCCAGTTTGAAGATGTTCCCGTTCCCTCCTTTCGGTATGACGGGTACGTCGGGCCCTTAGGGTCCCGTCTGAAGCTGTGTGAGCTTCAACTTCAAATTCATTCTCAGTATCGTGGTCCGACTGAACTTGAGGGTCGTCTAGGGGACGCCTCTCTTCAGGAGCCGGTACAGACGTGGATGCCATCTTAGAAGTACTCTCCCCACAGACGGCGCCAAGATGTTTCGGGGTTTTCTGATGTCCTGCGGGAGAGTTACAATTCCGAGACTGGAACCGGACGCCTGTACCTGCAAAACAAACGGATGCTCCGGATGATTGGAGATCCGCCTCCGACGGTCAAGTTAGTACTTGATTAAGGAGTAATTAATGCGGAAATTAAAGTGATTGGGTCTCTCTAGGTGAGAGAGTTTAATGTGTGTAATCTGCGTTTTTTGCGTAATCTCCCTTAATGAGGATTAAGGGAGGTATTTATAACCTCGGGAAACGTGTCAATCTAGGTTTAGGTTAACCTTGGGCTGATTGGGCTTCCCTCGGAAGTTGGGCCTAGGTGGCCGACTTCTCCATTAGGCATGGAGTATGCCACGTGTCATGACATAATAGGTCCAAGGCGGACGAATAAGTGTGTGCCACGTGGCAAGCCCTGAGAGGTCCACCTGGGGAACACTTGGCAGGACCTGATTGGCCCACGTGGCGCATTCCGATTGGTGGGAGCAAAATCCCCAAATCACTATAGACCCCTTTACTAAGTTCAATTCACTAATTTACCCCTTACACCCAAACCCCAAGATCTTAAGCCCTCCACAAATAGATCAAGTTTGTCCAAGTTATCTTCCTCAACAATATCACGCGCAAGCAAGCACAGCTAAGATCCAAACCAAAAAGGTAGTAGCAATTATGAGGTTCTCAAAAGTAGCAACAGGAAAAGACGGTCATGACACTAACTAGCTGCAAAGTTATTGTCTCTCTATGCAGGAACTAATGCAGAATCCAGTTTGAACTTTCGATACACATCGACCCTTTTCTTTTTTTCTAGTGATTCGTTTATACGACCAGGAAATCACTCACTATAACCTCAACTTATAACAGCATAACAGCGTTTTCAACGCCAACCTTTTCCGATTATAACTTCTCTGTCCAATATTTAATACAGCACAAGTTTCCTGCTGATCATGTTGAATGTCTGAAGTCGAATCCACGATTTTGCATAACAAAATGAGAAATGTAACATCAACCAAATTCCAAATACAACTTGATCGTTCCCTATAATTTCTTTCGTAGCAATTTATGAAGCAAACAATTCAAATCCTTTTTTTTTATACATCAAAAAATTACTTTTAAGATAAATAACAGCAGCAAAAAAAAAAAAAAAAAAAAAATAAAAAAAAAGTATTTTTTCATGATGCTAAACAAATTGCACAATTAGCACACTAATCTTATGAACATATTGATATTAACCTATATACTACAAATTCAAGTTTTTGATAAATTTAATTACACCTACAATTAAAATATAAAAATTATTGCAGGGCTGGCCAAATTAATCACCCAATTCAATTAAATTAAACAATTTGTAGGTCAAATTAAATAAAATTGGACAAAAGATAATCAGAATATAATTTACCTAATTTTTCAAAATGATAAAGAACAGGTCAATCATTGGAGATGTAAGCATGAATGAGGTTGAATTAGAGATCAAAATGACGAAAAAAAAAGAGAGCAGTTTCAAGGCGTCGTTGAAATTCGCAGAAATTTGATGGATTGTTTGTGGATATTATTGTTGGATTATAGTGGAGAATGAGAGAGAAATTTCAAGGGTTTATTCTGGCCAAATTTTTTTTTTTGTTTCTTTGGGTTTAGACGTTTAAGTTTAGGAGGAAACCAGTTATTGGCCAGAGCGATCTCCGATCACTATAAATTTGTAAAATTAATCAAAATTAAATTAAGTTTTGACAATTGGTCTTGTATGGACCCGGTGTACAATAAATTATTGTAGACTCAAAATTTGACACTTTCAAATACTCACATTCTTGATGATAATCACTTTTTTAAACGATACCCCCTCCGTTTCATATTGTTAATCCCATATACTATTTTGGGCGTTTCAAAAGATCTACCCATGTTGAATATATTTCATTTATAACTTGATTTTTTTAGAATTAATTGATTGTGGATTTGTGGATTGATGACATGACTCTAAGTAAGGAAATATTTACCACAAATTATGTAATTATGACTTGTGTTTTCCTAATTTTTAAACCTTATAAAAATGCAAACCAAATTACTGTAGCTTATGAATAGTATCTTGTGGTGCTATTACAGCCTTGCCCCAACATTAATGAATTGCCAATTATACCCCTTATTTTCACCGACTTACTTGGCCCTTGCTTTTCACCGACTTCCTCACCTTCTGACCTTCTTGCTTCTTCCCACTCTGTCTGAATCTGAAGGAAAATGGGTCAGAGTATTTAGGGGAAACAAGGAGAGAGAAACTTAGAGAGAGAAACTTCTGCAACTCAAGATCAACGATCATCTCTTTCGACGATGGTGCTTCGATTCTTCTCAGCGTTTCGATTTTTCGAGTCTGAGGTTGTGGAAGACGATTTCCCGATCGTCACATTCATCAGGTTCGGTCCCGTTTCTCTTTCTCGATTTAGTTTCAAATTTTTGGGCTTTACTTATTCGATTTTCGTGGTTTTTTTGCATATATGTTCGTGTTGTTTTCGAATTTTTTTGGTTGAATATTGTGGGTGTATTTGTGATTAATTGTTTCGTTTTTAACGGGGTTTATTTGATCAATTTGTTTTCGATTTTTTGGGTTTATTTGTTCTATTTTTTAAGGGTTTATTTGTTCTATTTATTTTCGTTTTTTGGGTTGAATTTTAGTGTCTTCTTCGATTGTGTGGTGGTTTTTTTGGGTTGAATTTCAGTGCCTTCTTTGATTGTGTGGTGGTGTTTTTGGGGGTTTGGAATGTTTGATGGTTCAATTTCCGTAGTTTTCTCCTGATTGACTTCTAGCAATGAATCCAGAACATCAGTGCCTTTAGTTGAGTTTAATGGCTGCTTTTCTTGCAATCGTTCGTCAATCATTCTAGGACGGTTGATGATGTGTCAGTTCCTGCTGAAAATAAGTCCTGCAGAGAAGAGATGTCAATTTGATTTTTTTAACGCAACAAAAACCAATAACTTTTTTCAAGAGAGATACAGCAGATGACTACCAGTAGAAGATAAGGTATGATCGAAAGTTCAATTTTCTCATTTTTCTCATGATTAATGCCTAACAGTGCGTCTAAAACATCGTTGCCTTCAATTGATCCTGACGGTCTTTCCCCTTGCAACCTTTGGTTGATCATAATCTTGAAAACATCTATCAGCTTTCCAAAGTGAACACTTGCATGCCGTCTGATACCCTGTAGGTCGATCTTTTGCAGGAAGGGAAAATAGTCTGCAAAGTTGGGTTTCCCAACTTCTTCCATCAGGCCTCGTATTGTCTCTCGAAATTCACGAGCAATTTCAGAATTGGGATCACCCATATCAACTGAAAAAAAAGGTATTTGACAGCAAATTGAGGGTAGTAGTGAATGCTGCTTGGCCGATGTTTACTGCTGTACCATCATCGCTGCTCTTCTCAACAAAGGAAATAAGATCATTGATCTTATTTCTTCGAAGGCTTTGGCTAGCACCCAGTGTGCTTGACATTAATTCTTTTTATTTCTTTTTTGGGTTGAATTTTAGTGCCTTCTTTGATTGTGTGGTGGTTTTTTTGGATTGAATTTCAGTGCCTTCTTTGATTGTGTGGTGGTTTTTTTTTAGTTGAATTTGAGTGATTTATCGTTTTTTTGGGTTGATTTTTTATACTGTTAGTAACATTATTGTCTAATTTGTAACAGAATTGTTGAACTAAAAGGTACAATTCTTATCTCCCCTTTTTCTTTCTTGTTCTAATTGGTTCAATTTTCATCTAACCTTTAATATGAATAGTGTAGACACTCATTTGTGTCTCCCCAAAACCAAACCCAGTGATGAGTACCTTTCACGTCGAATCATAATCGAATGAAGCGAAAGTGTGGAAAGTCTAGTGTTGCGGAAAGTTTTAATTTCTTTTCTCTTCTCTCTGTTTTTGAAAACTTATTTTAAGAAAACAGTCAATCCAGTTTGGTTGGTCCATAATATGGGTCCAATAGTAATGTAGTTGGATGGGGCTTGCAAAGACCTTTCCAACAATATATTATAAGCTCAATTCCGATGAATATTGAGGAAGTTATGGCCAATTTATCAAATTGGGCCCGGTTTGAACCTTATATACGGCCCAATGATCTAGGGGAGGGCCTAATATGATTTATCATTCCTAATGTAATTAGGAATGGTTTTAGTCTTCTAGATTCTTCTAGAAGGTTCTTTTCATTCCTAATTCAATTAGCATTGATAAATTGATTTTTGTTGACTTTACAGAGTTTTGATTAAAATCAAATAGCATTTTTGAGGAAAGATACGATTTTATCCTCCTGTACGTCAAAACTCATCTGATTTTCGAAAACGCGTCAAAAACAGGACTAGCGCCTGACGCCAGGCATTGGCGCCTGGAGTTAGGCTTGGCGCCTGGCGCCAGCTATTGGCGCCAATTAACCAGCGTTGGCGCCAGCTCTGTTTTGCGTGCGCCAGCTCTGTTTCACGTGCGCCAATGCTCTGTTTTGTAAATTTATCTTTTTGGCTAATTTCTCTATAAATAACGTATTAAAAACTCTGTTTTCGATAACCAGTTTTAATCAATCCTCTCTTATTCTCTTTAATCATTAACCAATTCTCATCAACATTCATCTTCATTTATCAACAACCAGTTTTCAATTATATACACCTACAATCAGTTTTCAATTCTCATTCTTCTCTAATTCATTCATCTCTCTTTCTCTTTTCTAAACCTTGCTTTTTCATACAAAATTCCGCATTCATTAGATCTAAAAACACCTAGCCATATTCAAAGTTGCCTTCGCCCTAAACGTGAAAGGTTTAATTTATGAGGGTTTGGTCCCAAATCTCTTTTTCAATTATTTAATTTAATTGTTTGTTTCTTATTTTCCTTGAATTTACTAACGCGTGTATTTTGTTATTAGAAAGAGGTACGAGGCATCAAAGTTAGTGCTTTAATGGTTTTTATTAATGTTATGATGTAGAAATCATGTTTATATTGTTATTATGATATTCCTAGTATCATGTCTAGGGTAACTTTGATATTAAATATGATTGTTATGATGCTTCCTACGTTCTTCCTAATATTTATGATTGTTAGTATCATGTTAGGGATAAAGATTTGATTTTTATTGCTTAATGGCATGCTAGGGTTTGTTATTAATCTTGTTAGTATCATGCCTAGGTTCTTGCTATTTTTATTATGCTTTAACATGATTTATGATTATTTTTATAATTGTTTTTATTATGATTATAATTTTATAATTATTATTATGATTAACATGATATTGTTATTATTATTATTATGATGATTATTTCATTGTTATAATTTTATGATCATGATTTTATTATTATTATTTTATTATTATGTTGCTTGATATTTATTGTTATTGCTTGATCACGCCTTTTATTGCATGTTTAAAGGGAATTTGTACTTGTAATCACGCTTAATAAGATATTTAATAATCTTGTTAGGGTTAATATGATTATATTTCAAGTGATCGTCAATAATAGTTTATTTGTGCATTTATATTCAATCAACATAGATAAACAGGTTTAGGGTTAATCCTATTGATTGCATATTAGTCAGAAAGCGCACATGAATACGATCAGAATAAAGTAGAGGCCTATTATTAGGGCAGGTTCAATCTCTTTTAGGTTGGATTTGTACCTTCATCCCCGAACCCTTATTTGGTTCTAGACCTTATGGAGTTGGCGATCTCTTGGATCGTTAAGGGGTGTAACCTTCACCCTGTGAACGGTTCCTAAAACTTGTTAGCGACTCTTTTGCTCTATCTTCTTTCCTTTTGGACGCCGCCGTACTTTAGTGTATGATCACAGTGAGGTTCAAGAAGGGGGTTAACGCTTGAATTTATTCCCCACAAATAGCTTACTTGTTTTTTTTCCCTATCTTTCCATTTTCTCCCAATATTTTCTCTTTTTAATTTGCTTATATGCATATGGTGTTTGCTGCTAAAATTTATGTTGTCAAATTAGATATTGCTGTTGTGAGTGACTATAGAGGGTAGCTGTTGTTTCACGTTGTTGCTGCTGTAATTCTGGTGCTGCCCTGTTACTAATGTTCTTTTCGTCCAAAAATCATTGATCTGAAGTTGTTTTTAGCTCATAGTCCCTTCATCAGTGTTTTAGATCTCGAAACATTATTCAATCGAGGCTCAAGAATTTCTCGATTTGGAGTTGTGTGCTAGGAGTTATGCCTTCTGGAATTTACTGCGGTCTGCTACCCTGGTTTTATCGCAGCGGGCTGTTATTGCTCATTTGATGCCTATGTGGTATTGTTGTGTTGAGTTGGTTGGGGTGCTAAAATAAATGCTTGGGCTTCTCTTATTTATTTTGTCTTCCCTTCTTCCATTTATTTACACATTAGTTATAAAGTTAAAATGTCGCCAATTTTGACTAATGACTATTAGGATATTGACTAATTGATAATTTGCCAAAGTGATGAGGATTAATGTATATGTTAAATTTTGAAATGTGTGACTGACTAAAGTTAATTAGTTTAAATGTATTAAAGGGTTTTAATGTTTATAAAATAGATTTGATGAACGAACACTAATCTCCCCAAGTTTATTCATCACTCTTAATCAACTTCTTATTTCGTATTACATGAGTCTTTTGTTGTTTTCATTAAATGAGGTGAGAAAATATATATATGTAAAGGTTTGTAAATAATGTATGTCTAGATAAGGGTTGTGTTCTATTTATATGAGTGTAATAACTTATCAAGTGAGTTTGGGAAGTATTAAGGAGTCAATCACAAAGAAGTCATTTTTGATATGATAGTCTCCTTATAATTTATTAAAATATATATTAGCATACAACTGGTTACTTGAGAATCCTTTATCTTTTCTACTGTAATATTAGCAGCAATTGCAGGTTGGTGCAAAATAATGCAGTGCTTGAAGTTAGAGTCTTGTGCTTCTATAACAAAAAAGAAAATTCAACTGTGTGGCCCTCCTTGACTCCATATCAACTTAACTACCAAAAAAGCAACCTGGACATCCTTGTTAGAGTAAAGAGGTTATTCTTTCAAATATATTCAGTATTCACTCTTATCTCCTATTTTTGTATGTCAGCTATGTGTGCCGTTTCCTGCATAAATTTAATGATGGTGAGCAGGATCGTGATCCTTTGTATCTGAAGCAATAATTAGTTTTTTTTCAAAAGATTTGCGAAGCTAGATCATTGTTAGACCTTGCATTTCTATGAATCTCCACGAGTTTGTGAGGCGATGGATTCTAAAAGTATATCAAGCTCTTCTGTTTGAGATAATTACAATATACTACTCTTCTAGACTTTTTGTTCTTGAGCACTTTAATTAATTTACATCTCTGCTTGCTTACTTTATTTTCTTGATTTTATGTATTAGAAGCCTGCAAATACTCATTAAAGCTTAGAAAGTAGTCATTACTTTAGGAAAATACAACTCATCACGATCACCAAACAACGTAGTCATGACCCGAAATTGAATACTGTTTATGTCATTTGTCATTTATGACTTTATCTACTCCTATAACAAATAATGTGTGCTATAAAACTGATAGAAGTTTCTAAAGTGCACATAAGGAAATAGATGACTTAATGTTCCGAAGATTCCTCTTACTTGTAATCTTGTGAAGAAGACAGGTTCCATGTTCTTAAAGTATTTGAAAAGGAGGCAGACTTTTCTGCCTAAAGTTTGTCATAACTCATAAGATAAGAGATACATTATGACCTTTCCCATAACAAAGTTAATCAAGGACACCCTACTATGATTGCGTTCGCAGGTGGGCATTACCTAAATTCCAAATCTGGTCGGGGGTCTTGATGAGTTTAAGCGTACGTCTCTTCCCGTTTCTTTGAATATTTAGATTGCGCAATTATACTTCAGTTGCAATTATCTACATCAATGTTTCTGTTATTCATACTTCTTTTGTGTGTTTCTATACATGTCTTCTTGTGTAAAATCTTGATGACCTATGAGCATTAATGTACCTCTGAGGTTTCATTCTGGTACATCTATTGTTGCTGCCTCCTATGCTGCTTATAATGTTGTTGAATGTTAATATCATTGTTCTATGTAGCATTACTGAAAGATCATTGTCCTATTGAATTATTTGACATTGATACACTGTAAGTCCAATTCAAAAAAAGCAAGAAAAGTGTGGATTCTGGGTACTTGCCACGTTTTAGTTTTTTTTTTTTTTTTTTTTTTGTTAAAATTATGAACCATGATTGTGTTTTGGTAGAATTTATCTAACTTCTACTTTAGCTGACATCTCTTTACAGGATTAATGATATTTTTTAGCTTGAAATCAGCCCAAAACACTTATTTAGGTCAACATGGATTCTTTATAAACGTCCATACCTTTTTTTTTTTTTTTTTTTTTTTTTTTGTCTTTCTTTTTGAAGAAGATGTGCTTACTTGGAATAGTGCAGTATGGTCTCTTAAAACTCTTAGTGAAAGAACACAATTAAGAGGTCTTGTCTAAAGTAAAATCTAGGATGTAATATATTTAGAATGACCTTTTTTTATTAGTTCTTAAGAAATAGCAAGTGTATCTTTAAAGCTTTTTGATAATTTAAGGGGTCGCACGTGATCGTTGATTCTAATGGTTATGACACACCATGTAAATTGCAACCACGTGTTGAGATAGCGTGACGGTAATGACTCTAATGTATCTAAGAACTTTAGATTGCTAGCTCATACTTTTTTTCTATGCTCCTTCATTTGCATGAACGTTACATACTTGCGTATCAAGTTATGTATACACTTTTACAAATGTTATGTGCAAACACAATATTTTATCTAACCGAATAAATCAAAGATATACAACACTTTTTGAAAAGAATTTAGAATTTGAAAAGAAAAGAAAAACAGTATTTTTCAAAAAGACTTTATAATTTGGAAAACCTAAGTGGTACAATGTAACAAAACATGTAAAGAGAGAGGAGAATGATTGAGACCAGCAGGAATGCAAATAAAGATTAGCATTCTAAATTTTAAAAATAATAAGATAGGAAGGGGGATTCTGTCCTTTCCATAGACATTGAAATGCAAGAATCCAACACATTCTACCATGTAATATTTCCTTAAGTTTGAATATACCATGTTTCTTTCCGTAGACATTGAAACACTTTATTTTGTTCATCTTTTTATCTTTCAAAATGACCTTAATAGTGTATAAAAACACACAAAGGAGAAATAAGCCACAAAATATCAAAAAAAAAAAACATAAATAAAGACAATAAATTTAAAAGCAATTAACCTAAAATCTGGGAACATGACTAGAAAATAAATGTCAAAATGACACTCATCACATATGAGAGAGGGGGAGAGAGAGAAAAAGTGGAAGGAGTTGGCAAAGAGAAGGGCAAGGAGAAAGAATGGGGACATGAGAGAGAGAGAGAGAAAGAAAGAGAGGGGGGGCTGGAAAAGAGAGAGGACAGGTTAAGAGAGGAAAAGACATGTGGAGAGAGGATAAGGGAAGAGAGAGTGAGGGGAAGAGAAAGGGGGGGAGGGGGAGGGGATGAGATAGAGAAGGAAGGATAAAAGGGAGAGAGAAGGGGAAGGAGTTGGAAAATAGAAAGGTCGAGAGAGGACGCGGACCAAAAAAGAGACAAAGAGGGCTGTGAGAGAGAGAGAAAGGGAGGACGAGGGAGAAGATGTCTAGGAAAGAGTGAAAGAAACAAAGGACATGAGAGAGGAGTTAAAAGAAAAGAGAATGAGAAAGAAAGAGGGTTTAAGGGAAGAAAGAAAGAGAAAGAGGATCAGAAGAGGGTGAGAAGGGTTAAAAGAAGAAGCGATAGAGTGATAAGAAATAAAGGGGCCTAGAGACATAGAGAGGGGCTGGGAAAGAAAAGAGATAAGGAGGCTAGAAGAAAGAGAGAAATATAGAGAAAAGCTGGGAAAGATAAAGAAGCCGGGAGATATGGATTTGGATGACAAGTGCAGCTTATAATTTTCAAAAAAAAAAAAGGAGTGAGAGAAAGAGTTTTGCCCAATAAAAAAGAAGGAATGATTAAGAGACGAGCAACTGCGACCTATAATTTTCAAAGCCATTAACAAAGTAAAACATTTTTTCTTATACAAACAAGGAGACAAGACCAAGGGAAAAGAGAGAGAGAGAAGGCGGGTCAAAAAGAGATCAAAAGGGAGGAGAGAGATACAGAAGAGGTCCAGGAGAAAGCGAAATTCTTTTTACACCTCATTATTGAGAAACGGTATTTTTTGGCCAAGACAATTACTTTTGCCTAAATTAGATCGTATATTCACTCAGGAAATACAAATTTCGAGGATAAAAATAGCATTAAAATTTAATATTCAACTCAAAGAAAAAAATATATAAATACAAAAACAAACTTTGAATAAGTTTAGATCACACCAATTATGTAGACCGATAACAAAGAAATATAAAAATTTTCATATGTTTTGCATTTAATCCATTTTACGCAACTTTATCCTTTAAAAATTACATTTCTTTATCACTGCTCCTTATTATCACAATCATTTTAAGACGGAGATATTAAAACCATATTGCACTCTATAATAGTAGTATATTTTTTAAAAATCTTTATATTCTAACAAATTCTAGATAACTTTTTTACTTTTAAAATTGTTGTTTTATAAATATTTCCCCGTAGAAACTTTATCACTACTCCTTGTATATTCATGTATCATTGCTACTGCAAAACCCGAATACAACCACGAATATCACAAAAATCGAACAAAACCACGAATGTTACTTATCTTGCCGTCGAGGGAGCGTGCTCCAACGACTAGTTTTAAAAAGTTTATAAAAAGTTTATGAATACCAAAGATAATTATAAAAAGTTTATGAGTTAAAAAACTTTGTTTACCACTTAGAATTTTATAAAATTGAAATTTACCAAAGAGAATTTCCCAAAATTAAAAAATTTAAATAAGGTAAACTAATTATGAATTATGTTGTACTTTAATGTTAGATTCCAAATATATTTATTTTCTTGTTTTATGTGACTGATTCCATATGGGACTTAACATTATGAAACGAAGGGAGTATAATTATCTTTTTGTGAGTCATATTTTGAATTATATAATCTCATATTAAACCATTTAATGAGATTATATAATTATCTTTAGGATGATAAAATTTTAAAATCATCTTTTGAATGATGTAACTTACTACTACGTATTTGATACTTTTTATAATGATAAATTCACTTTTTGAGTGATACATTTACATAACAGTTTCAGGATGTTATAATCACTTTTGTAGTAATATAATCACATTTCGTATGATATAATCACATTCGTATGGTATACTAGAAGGTTGGGTCTACAATAAGTTATTGTAGACCGGGTCTATTTTAGTCTTCACTTTAGACGTTTGATGTTCAACAATCTCTAAATACGGAGTAGTAAATAAATAAAAATGTAATAATAAATTTTAGATTAATGGGGGCTAGTTTTTATTCATTTTACTTTACATAACAAAATAATAATTATGTAAATATTAATATATTATTGTATAATTGCTTGAATAGTATAGAATCTAGTAAATTAGCATCCAAGAAATCAATGACAATTAGTATGAGATTAATGTCAAAAATTAAATTATCGAATACTATACAATTATGTAGGAGTTACATTCAATGGAAAAAATAAATACAATTGAAGGTTATGCATATGAAGAGTTTTAGGATAATGAATGATGACATGTAAGGTCGGGTGACACATAACGTCCATGTGGCGCCAAATCATACAAAAGACAATGATACATGGCGGTAGCATGTTGTCCCATTGAGTTTTAACAATATTATTATCGATACAACTACAAGTCAATTAGCCAGATTTACAACTTCAGCAAATTAGCGGGCAATTTCGTCCTTTCAGTGTTACTATTGGGGGCAATTTTGTTAGCACAACCAAATTTAAGAAAGACGGAGCAATGACTCGGCAAATGTTTGGTTTAGTCAAACTAAAACAAATTCGTACGACGATTTGAAGGGGATTCCCCCAATTCAAAACCCTAAATTGAAACCGCACATAATTGGAGTTGTTTCATAAATCACAATCAGAGGGCTTTAGCAATTTATACTATAAAAACCTTTTTCAATTGCAATGGAATGCGATTCGATTGAGATTTGGGCTTGTCAAAGCAGTGGATTGAGAGGAATAGAAAAGCACGGCAAAAATGATAAGAGTGAAGGTGTTTTCTTACAATTTGCTTGTTGGTACTTGCTACTTGTTTAGGATTGGAAATTATTGATAGGATTAATTAATAAAGTGTTGTAGTGTTTTGATATTGAAGATTTATTGTGTCAGACCAAATGGTTTTTTTTTTTGTTTTGTTTTTTTATTATTTTTCTTTTTTACAACAGCAAAAAGAACGGATGTAAAGAAACAAACTAGACTAAAAAACGTCAAAACCTACAGAATTTGAAAAGCAATTTAAAGTAGTTCAACACTAGTTAGCGATACGATGGGAGAGGTTGACATGTGCTCTATCAACTTTGAGGATGATGCAATGATGGAAGGTGCTTCCGACTGTAATAATATCCTTCCAAGTCCAGTAGATGTGAATATCCAAGGGTCGTTTGCTTTTAAGAGTTGTAACAAGAGAGGCAAAATCAGTTAAAACCTTGATAGATCGGTAGCCATTATCTTTGGCCCAGCGCAAAGCATGTAAACAAGCCAAGAGCTCTAATTGTAGGGCTGAGGCCGCAACTTCAAAGTTTCCTCCAGCTTTCCAATTCACCTGTGTTATACCTCTCTATTGTCCATCCTACCCAATATTGTTTGCTAGACTTTTGCCACGAACCATCAATTCGAATTGTACCATACTACCAGGAGCTAACGAGTCATTGAAACCAAGGATATGATTCACTTTTCGAGACCTGTAGAAAAACCCCATCGGGGCCCGATAAGAGGGATCTGGTAACTTAGCAACATCCTCTAATCTAGTTGTCGACTTAATTTGTGTAATCATTCAAAAGGAGGAAGGCCTCCTTTAGATTACCAAAGTAACAACCCAAATACCCATTGTCACCTTGAAAGACACGCTTATTCCGAGTAATCCATATAGCCCATAGGGTAGCTATTAATGCTTGAATGCGATTACTACGGATTCCATCCTGACTATAAAAAAGCAGAATATGGCTTCGGATCCAATCCTCTAGCAAAGTGGCGTCCATTAAATTTTTACAGTTCGATATCCGGCAGTTGTCCCAGACATATCGAGCTATGGAGCATTCAAGAAAGAGATGAAAACCATCCTCCTCCTTTAGATCACAATAGTCACATATGGCGTCAATGATAATTTCTCTTGAACGAAGATTAGCCTTGATAGGGAACCCATTTACAGCAAGTTTCCACATGAAGATTCGCCATTTAGCGGGAATATTGAGACACCCTAAAATTTTGAAAAAATCATAAGATTCTTTCCTATGGGGAGATTCTCGCATACCTTTTAGATTTGTTAAGAAGGCGTAACCTGATTTAACCGTATAGATCCCTGAACTATGCCAGGACCAGTATAAGAAGTCCTCCTCTTCCTCGGTTGGAAGGGAAATAGAAAAAATTTCCTGTGCGCTATCCCACTCAAAACGATCCCGAATAATTCCAATGTTCCAAGTGCGGGAAGGAGTTATAAGATCACTAACCTTCCATAACGCACTCTGTCTAAGGTTCTGATTTGTGTTAACAACTGGAATTTTATTGTTAACCCATTTAGAACTAGAAGCCAAATTTCTATTTCCAACAATGTTTACGTGGGCACATAGCAAAGCAATGGTATCAAGAATTTAAACTAACGCGATCTAGATACTCTCGCTAAAGGTCTTCTCCAGTGTGCGCTTTGTCATCACCTCTAATGGACACAACGAATACACAAATATGTAGATGAAGATCCAAAAATTAATTTCTCCATTTTTTTATTTTATTAAGAAATTTTTATATGACGTTAGTAACGCTTGTCCTAACGTTCATAAACCGACCGTTAACCTTTGCCAGATCATCAAACGTAAAGAAGAATATAAAATTAATTTGTTCTACAATGAGGGCCCACTAAAGCGGCTAATTGACATTATTTCGTCAATCAGGCTGATTGGCTGGGGCACCCTCTAAGTTTAATAGGCGTTTTAGCATTTACTTACGAGGGATGCACAATTCCTAATCTTGATAATTTTATAAAACTTATCAAGGGGTATATTTGTAATTGCATAATACAACCTACCTTACTGATTCAACAGCTCAAGGGGTATATTTATAACTAGTTTTTATGTCCGGGCGATGCCTCCTAAACTTTTTAGCTTTAATACAATCATATAATCCTTTTGATAATGTAAAGTATTGCACTTCAATTATTTCTAATGAATTGAAAGTATTTTTATTAGATTATAATTTTTTTTCTAATTAAAGCTTATTTATACTGATTTTTTTATTAAACTACGGAGTATATTATAAATGGATCTCATTTTAAAGAACTTTTTTAAAGGTATATTATGATGGAAATAGTACTAAGTTATGAGATATGTATTAAAAGTTATAATTAATTTTGTGTATATAAAATATTAGAAGTATATCGATGATAAAACACTATACAACATTTTTCTATATCTTAAAAAATAGCTCGACATTTGGCGAAAAACTGGAATGCCAATTGTCGATGTCTCGTGGCCTGCAGGCTGGGATTCCGGCTTTATACATTAGTGATGATATGATTTCATATTTGCCTTTTTTGTTTTATTACTACTCTCCCTGTCCCATTATTTCATGCTTGTATTCCTTTTTGGGTGTCCCAAAATGTTATGCCTGTTTCTAAATATATCACAGTACGTACTTTTATCTTTCCCATACAAAATACACATATATCCAAAAAATCATTACTAACTTTTTCTTTTTTTTCATACAATATTCTCTACTTTTTTATTATTCCCATACAATATTCTCTATTTTTTATCTTTCCAATAGAATATTCTGTTACTTTCACCATTCTCTTTAATTACCATGTTTTTTGAGAAATAGACATGAAATTATGGGATAGTGGGAGTATTTTATAATTCAAACTAGGTTAATCCCGTGCGACGCACGATTTTATAATAAGAATTGAATTATAAACTTTTAACACATATTGAAAGAAAATAACTACTTCCTCCGTTTTCCTAATTAATTTTTGATTAAATATGAATATACAATTTTCAAAAATGCATAATTTTCATATTTAATTAGGATAATTTTAAATTATATTATTACCTATTGTAAACAAATCATAAATAACTAGGTAACATAATCATATCCTATATATAAAGTGAAAGGGGGTTTTGGGTGATAAATTTCTTTCCCAAAATAACCCCTCCCATTTTTGTTTTACTTTTTTTTTAAACTACCATCTAAAACATAATACCATCCTTTAATAAACTAGGGTATCCTACGCGCGCGATGCGCGCTAAAGAGTTAGCTCTTGCATAGAAGTTGTATTAGCGCGTAGTTACACCTTTGGTTTGGGTGGTAAATCTGGTAGTTTTAATACGTACTATTTGGTTTATGTGCCTATATAATGGTTTTGTAGAAATAATATAAAAAGCCACCAAAATCTTAAATGATAATTATTTTTTAAAACTCTCAAAAGTTTGACAGTGTTATTTCAAAATTATTATTAAATAATATTTAATTGATTTGAATCCCTTCATATCTTAAGCTAGTTTAGAACTCTTAATTGATTTGCATGATTCAATAATACTTAACGTATTTTTCTTCAAACGAATTTTTTGTGAGCTTGGTCATACGGAGTACTAATATATGAAATGTTCGTTGTAAACTTAATAATGTAAGTTCAATGTTCTACGACCATCTAATATCTATATCTATATCTAATACTAAAGCAATAACCACTTAGTTATATTTTTCCTCTTAAATTCACTCCATATTTAATACATTTTTTTTCTATAATCGATTTCCTTCGATTATAGGATTTTAAAGTTATTTTTACCTCTTGATAACATCTGCTCAAATATCATTATTTAATATGAATGTCATTTAAATTCCACGTTATTTATGTGCGTGCCATCAAATAATGTACAATTAAAAAGCTAATAAACCTTAACAATATTTAAAATAATTAAAGGACAACAAAATTGTAAATAAGAAGAGCAACCACGAAGGAATAAAAATAAATCATCTCGTGGTAATAAACAAAGTCTTCGTACATGCAATTTTTTTTCCTTTTTAAATAACAATAATAACATATGAAGTGCAAAACATTATAATTTTTTTATTTTAAAAAAAGGCATTACAAGTTTTTGTTAAAAAAAAAACTTTGTATTAATTGATGGTATGTTTAATGGAAAAAAAACCAATTAAATATATTAATGAGAGTAAACATATTAATGAGGGTGAAAAAATAAATATATATTTTTGTACACAATTTTGTGCATATTTTTTAGGGTATAGTTGGTAGCACACTATTCCTAAGAGTTATTTTCTACTTTTTATAAGGTAGGGAAACTACCATCTAAAAAACCTAACATGTGAAAAAAAGAAAGAAAAAAACTTCCATTTGAAAAAAACAGAGAATTTTACTCGATAGATTCACACGCACGAAATTTCGTGCATCTCTACACTTGTATCTATAGAAAACCAAAAATTTAAAAATTGAAATGGAATTTAATTTTCAAAACAATGTTAAATAGGGTACCTTGTAAAGGAAAAATATGACATCATCCATGCATTTTGGAGGGAAAAAATAAAATAAGAAAGTGACACGTAGGCAGTGATGACATCAGCGGTTGTTAATTTAGTATATATATAGAAGTTCTTTTTTTACTACTTATTTTCATATTTGCCACTTGATTAAATTTATCAATGTTAGGACTAGGGTGAAAATTCGGATTTTGGTTTGGATTATTGGCCAAACCGAATCCAAACCGAATTATTTAGGCTTTGGATTTTCGAAACCGAATCCAAACCGAATTAATTTGGTTTTAAAAAAGAAAATCCAATCCAAACGAAAATATTAACTATGGGTCAAAATAGGTACAAATTTGAACAAAAAAAACCTCAATATATAAAATTCGAAAAAGAACACAAGGGCAACACGAATTGGGGAATAAAACCAGAAAAAATAAACAATTAACATTAACGGAATTAATTCAACTATCGGAATTTAAATAGAAATAAACGGAGGTGAATGTGAAATTAGTTCGACCATAACAATGGAATGAAAGTGAAATTAAATAGATCTATTCCCTTTGAGTGTCGTATGAGAGAGTGAAAGTCAGGGACAGAGGTGTTGATACGAGCGCGCACAAGAGAGTGAAAGTGATGAGGGAGTTGTTGACAGAGGTGCTGACGGAGGTGCGGGGTGTCGACGGAGGAGTTGACGGAGTGCCGACGGAGGTGGCCTGGTGAGAATAAGGGGGTGAATTTAGGGAGGTGGTGGGGAAGTCAGGGAGCCTAAAGGGTTCTCAGAAGAAAGGATATAGGAAACGAGGGAATGAAAATTAGGGTTTATGTGTTTACATATGAAAGGGAAATGGGATGAAGTATTTGAGCTTTGTGTAATTCGATTTGCAATTTCGGTGCTTGGTGTTTTGAAGCCCCAAACCGAATCCAAACCGAATTATTTCGGTTTTGGATTATTGAAATCGATCTAAATCGAAAACCGTAAAAAACCAACATTGTTAATTGGGATCCATTTAATTCGATTTTAAACCGTATTACTTTCACCCCTACTTAGGAGTTAGGAATTTCTCGAAAAACACAACTGAGGGTCTATTCTGATTGACTGAACTGAACTTATTAGAGCTGAACTAAACTGCACTGAACTAAACCAAACTGAATATTTTATAAAAATAAAAATTAAAAACTAAATTGAACTGAAATTAAAATAATTTGAAGAGAAGATGGCCTTTATTCATTTTGGAGTTTTGGTCGATGAACATGTATTTTCTCATTCCATTCCTTCGAGTATTTCATCATTCAAATAGAGGTAAACTGTGCCTTAGTTATAGTGGCACACTCTCTTGTCGCTCTCCAATGGCTTCCCCTCCTCGGATTCTTCTCTCCGGCGATGTCAATGGCCGCCTCTCTCAGCTCTTCAAACGCGTACTCTCGGTATTCCCCTCTTTCTCTCTCCACCATCTTCAACCTTCTATAATCATTCAAATTCAAGCATATACATTTTTGATTTCAGGTGAACAAATCAGCAGGACCCTTCGATGCTTTGCTATGTGTAGGCCAATTCTTCCCAGAATCAGTTGATCAATTGGAGGAATTCATGGAATACACCGATGGGCGTCGTGAAATTCCTATACCCACTTATTTTATCGGCGATTACGGCTTTGCTGCACCTAAGGTTCTCTCTGCTGCTGTTAAAGACCCTGGAAATCAAGGGTTTAAGTTGGATGGTTTGAGAGTTTGTAATAATTTGTATTGGTTGAAAGGCGGCGGCAAATTCACACTTTTCGGTTTGTGTTTCTTTCGATTGTTTGGTTTTGTACTCGTATTAGCTTACTTGCATTCTTGTATTATGGTAATGTTTGCATTTTTTAATGAGATGCATATGATATGATTGTGGGAGTTTGTTGATTTAGGGAGTTGGGGTTTGTGGTGAGTTGTGGAATTGTGTGAGTTGAATTTGTTAGGTTGGGTAGTATGTTGGAAGGAAATGTAAAATAGTTGGTTTAAAGCATAGAGATTGGTTTGGTATGAGGTTTTGTATTAGTGGGATTAGTTACAAAAGATTGCACTTTAAATGAGGAGGTGAGAGTCGGATCAACAAAGTAAGTTAACACCATGAGACTCGATTGTTTCTTGTGGGTAATATGTTGAAGTGAAGATTATGTAGGTGCTTGAAAGCTAATAACTTGTCTCTCAAGGGAATGATAAAAGTAAATGGTAAATAAAACGTGCACATTACTTAAAAGGCTTACTTATAGTGTCATTAGATTAGGATATGATCATGTGTTAATGTCGTTTGAGTAGATTTTGTTCATATATTTATTTTAATACCTTGAAGATAATTTGGGTATAACTCATATAAGCATGACAAACACATAAGAAAAGTAATGGTTGCTTAGGGGCATTGTTAATTTGGACGCTTAAGAAAGCATATCTATGCCTCGTGATAGAATGAGGCATTTAGTTGAGACTCTATACGTGATGACCATTAACCTCATATTGAATGGCAATAAGTGTTTGAGCCTTTGAGGAGGGATTTTGGTGATTGTTAATCATTTTTTATGTTGCAATTGCGTACTTATATATATAGTGGCTAATAGGTATTTTGGTACGGCCTATGGGTAAGTTTGAGGCAGTCTTAGTTTTAAAAAGCGCAAGGCGCACCAATGCGCAAATGGTCCTTGCAGCCTAGGCGCGAAGCGTAAGGCAAAGGCGGGCGCCTTTTGTGTGCAAGGCGCATGTATTTATATATTTATTTCAAATTATTTTTTACTTTGATAGTACTTAATACTAATTAAAAAGATTCATGATAAATTAAGTAATGATATATTTAAAGCTAAGGTAGTCTGAACTTGAAAAAATGTCCATCATTCTTCAATATATAACTTAAATCTTAGTTATTTTCCTTGAGGCGCAAAGGCACGCCTTACCAAAGGCACTTTGAGGCGCACGAGGTGTTCCGTAGGTGACTGAGTCTCACCTAGCTAAAGCCCATTTCCCACAGAGCCGCCTGGAGTGAGGTGCGCCTAGGCGCGCTCGAGGCGCGCTTTTTAAAACCGAGGAGGCAATTACTCTTTTCTTAGGCTTCCATGTAGTAATCCATTTATTACCGTGCCCATAATCCTTGCCTCTGAGAGCTTTATCCCAGGAACTTTAGTCCCTATGGTATGTTCTTTCCACCTAAATTTCACTTAAGTTATCTTATTACGCCTGATCTTATTTTATATGAACTTGTTCAACAATTCTCATTTTTCCACCATTCTAGTGGCCAATTCTCTTTCTTCCACCATTGTAGTAGTCAAATCTCTTTCTTTATCTCTCTAATTCCTTAATTATTTTTGTCTAGTTTTGCATAATTAATGGTGAATTGTGGGTATGTGATTCCATGTGTAAGGAGAACTTCATGGACTCTTGAAAATCCAGGAAGAAAGTGGCTTGCAAATTCTAAAACCATGAAATCGACCCTCTTCTTCCTCCTTTAGCCATTGACAAAAGTAGAAAGGTGAATTAATGAAACTTATTAAAAAAAACCCCAATTTTGATAAATGAATTTACACTTACTGTTACTTTAGATTATTGTTGCTTGTGCACTAGAGGAGAGAGAGTCTAAATATGATTGAAGTGCAAAGCCTTCATGGAAGCAAATGAGAGAGAAAAGATAGGCATTTACTTTGGAGGGAAATAAGAGGGAAGATAGAAGGATGGAGTGCAAATATAAACTTATTTGGGTGTAAGTAGATAAAATAAAGGGTCAACGCCTGAAACGAGAAGGGAGGGGATGTTTTATCAAATAAAAAAAGTGATCGTGGAGGATTTTTTAAACAAAAATCCTTTTAAAAGGTTTTTCCTTGCAAAATGAGGTATTTAAAAGATTTTTTCTAACAAATTTTTCTAGTAGCAAATAGATTTTATTTTACATATCACAACACGGTTCGAACTAATTTTAATTTTTTTTTTTATATAATTACCATTAATTATAACTCGTCCATTATATTTACAATTTTGTCCTTATTATAGTGTTATTATTTAATTAATTTAATTGTCATTCAATTTACAGTTTTGGCCAAACAAGGGCTAGCAATTATTGTTTAAGTGTTTAGTTTTCCGCCATAATAGTCTTGTATATGTATACCCTATTTTCTTATTCTATTAGACTTGATGTTTTTAAACAATCATTTTGATATTACAACCAAATATTTGGGTAGAATGCATGCAAAAGAGCAGATTAATTTAAAGTTTGCAGCGTACTATGCAAAAGTAGTTTAACGAAAAAATTAGTTGCCTTTTTTATTTTTTTTATCCTTGTAAGATATCACAAAAACCAATATACTAACTACCTTTTAGTTTCTAACTAAGATATTGACAATGTTAGGATTAATTCCTTCCATATACTTTAATCTTCATATCAAATTAATCGGTAAATCTTAATTGCGGAAGCGTACCTATAATTGGTCGACCCCCTTTTTGATTATGCGTCTTCCAACAAATACACACTCTAGGGTTTTCTCTCTATTGGTGGGATATAAGTGAGAATCTATTGTATGTACTACTAGGGATCATAACCCTAGATGTCTATTTATATAGACCCCCTTCCTTAATCCGCCCATCATGCATTAGAAAAGGTCCAATGATCTCTACACATAAAGCTAAACCCATACTTTATAAAAGACGTAACAAGCCCAATAATTAAAAAGTACATACAATAGACTCTCACTTATATCCCATCAATAGAGAGAAAACCCTAGATTATGTATCTACTAAAAGACGCATAATCAAGAAGGGCTAAATCAATTATCATGGAATTAGATACGCTTCAGATTAATTTGATTTGAAGATTAAAGTATATAAAAAGAATTAATCCTTACAAATGGTATCATGAGCCTCCATATTGGATTAGTCGATTAATTTCATTCCGTTAGTTTTAGTTTAATCAATCGTTTGATTGGATATGAATTAACATGAAGCTATTGCGTCTTGTTATTAATTAATTCACGTGGCCGTTATTTCGTGTATTTTGTTGAAATGAAGTATTGTATGTGTTTATGGAGTACTTTCGTTTCGACTAATTCGTTTTATATGAAATATTATATTGGTTTGTTAATCATATGAATTATATGCGGCTTATATGGTATTACAGTTCATTTGATTAATTACATCCAAATCTGTATAGTTTAAATGGGGCACTCGTTATAATTTTGTTAATTTGTGTGGGTTTTCGATTTGATCGTATTTCTACCATGGTTGATTGAGGGTGAATTTTGATAATTAATATGTGTTTTGGCTATTTTGTCTCATATGATGCGAATATGGTGTTTACTTTTATCATATCAATATCAATATGATTTGATTCTTTACGAAGGTCTATATGCGAATGCTTCCATGAATTTTCGTATATATTGCAGTATCAAATTGTATTCTTGAATTGGATGCTAATATATACTGCAGTTTCTTAATCTGATTGTAAACCATGCACATAAATCAAGAGTAATATAATTGCATGATTTATATATATTGAGGTTAAATCAGATTTTAATATTTGACAATAAGGTAATAAAAATAATATCGAGTCTCATATTTTGGATTTATTAATTGAAACAATATGTTGCCTAAGCGACCTCTTTTGTGTAGATTAATTTATTTGAAATTTTTAGATGTGTGTGTGTGTGTGTGTGTTTGATTCTCATGCGATTAATGGTCGGCCCAAAGGAAGGCTATTATTTGGCCGGAAATTAAACATGCTTGTGGTAATAAATATGTAACAATTATAAGGTTTTCCATGTGAATGTTAAGTCGGTCCAAAGAAAGGCTTAATGTTTGACAGGATTTTATTGTTAATATTTGATTACTACACCAAGAGGATCACTTACAAGTTAATTTTTCTGTCCAAAGACTAAAAATTAATGTTGTGCTAGGTCTCTTGTGATGGGATATGTTGTCAACATTCTAATTTGATTATTAAAGTTGAATTTTGGAATTAATTGTGAGCTTGTTTTGTTTGTTTGTGTTCTCTTCCAACATTAATACTATACCCATGCTTGATGGGACAAACTTTAAGAGTTGGAAAGAGAACTTTATGATCGTTCTTGGTTGCATGGATCTAGACCTTGCTCTTTGGGTTAGCGTCCTGCTGCTCTTACGGATTCTAGTTCCTCTATTGAAAAGGGGAATTTGGAGAAGTGGGAACGCTCAAATCGCATGAGTCTTATGATTATGAAACGTGCAATTCCGGAATCATTTATGTCCGAAGAGGATAATGCCAAATCGTTCCTTACTGAACTTGAAAAGCGTTTTGCTAAAAAAAAAAGGCGGAAATAAGCACTCTCTTGAGTAGTCTGGTTTTCCAAAAGTATAAAAGAACCGGGAACATAAGGTAGTATATTATGGAAATGTCTCATATTGCTTCAAAATTAAAGGCACTAAAGTTAGAGCTGTCTAATGACTTGCTCGTGCATTTAATTTTGATATCTCTTCCTAAACAATTCAGTATGTCAAAAGGAGAAATGGACTCTAAATGAGCTTATTTCTCATTACGTTCAAGAGGAAGAGAGATTGAAGCAAGAAAAGACAGAGTGCTCACTTGGTATCTTCCTCTAAGGATGGCAAGAAAAGGAAGAAGGGTAAGGATGCGGTTTCGCAACCACAAAGAAGCAACATAAGGAAGATAAGGATGAATCTAAAGGATCTAGATGTTCTTGCGTGTGGGATGACTCATAAGAAGAAACAATGCACTAAGTGGTTTACAGTCTTGCATACCAAACCTTTTCAAAACTTTCTCGATATAGCCTTTTTGTGACAATCCAAGAGTTCTTAGATGGCAATCTCGATGAATTTGTATCCCTAACACAAAAGAGGCGTCCCCAAGATCTTTCATCTCAAAGTGATTTGATAGAAATCTCTTGGTTTCGTGCAAATAGCCTTTATCGTTGCTGACGAGCAATATTTCATCAACATATAAAACAGGAAAACATGCTTACTCCCACTAAACTTGTGGTACACACAATCATCAACTGCATTTGTCTCAAAACGATGAGACATAACAACTTGATGAAACTTTAAGTACCATTGACGAGAAGCTTGTTTGAGTCCATATTTGGATTTTTTTAATTTGCAAACCATTTTCTTTGAATCTCCCAAAACAAAGTTTTCTGGTTGTTGCATATAGATGGTTTCCTCAATGAGAAATGCTATCTTAACATCCATCTGATGTAACTCAGATCATAATATGCTACAAGTGCCATTACAATCGCACCATTTGGCCTTTTTCACAATTCACACATTCCTCTTATATGATCTCTGTTTCAATTAATTTGCAACATTTACTATAAATGGATACTACAAATTATTTGCAACAAATGTTTGTTTCCATTTTTACTTGTCATTTCTTTCTATCTCTCTCCTCTTTACATGCAACTTTATTTTTCTCTTTCCATTTATCACTCACAAACAAATTTTACCTAGATATGGGTGAATGTCACAAATGGAGGTAGTATTATTTGGGTGTTTTACATGTAAGAAGAAAAAAAAAATCATGTTGCTCTTATTTTCGTCTTGATTTTTTTTTTCAAATATCTTTTTTTTTTTTTTTTTTTTTTTTTTTTTTTGTAATTGTTACTTAAAGCAAATTAAAGATGTTAATCGCCAAAGTTTTGCATTGGCAAGTATGAAACTCTAAATGTTGCAATAATTAAAACACGAAAGAAGTATTATAATATATTATATTATTTTTGGAACCTTATTAGACCTTATTGGGCCTTAGACTAAGGTCTTTATATGAACTTATTGTCCCTTATATTATCTTATCTTATCTGAATTTAGACTTGTAATAATTGAAAAAAAAGGTGAGGAGAACAAAGCGTAAGTCTGACCTGTTTTAGATAGTATATATAATTAGTAGGAAAATAATCTATATGATACTTTTAGTGATTATGATTGGCCTATGTAATTATATCCTTCAGGTTATAATCATGTCTATTTATGTGATTAGCAGGAAGAAAATAATTTATTTCGACTTTGCTAATTTCTCAAGTTATACTAATCATCTCAGTACTTGTAGATTATAATTACAGAAAAGACCAAGATGAGTTAGTGACATTTGTATGGTTGCCTGTCTAACATACATTCTTTGCCTCTGCATCTGAGTAGCTGAATGTACTCATAGGTCTGCAAATTCAAAATTATATTAACATAGAAGTTGTGGTTCATCTTTGTAAGCTAATATTGCTTTTTTGTAATATGCTAATTTACTTAATTGATATTTAGGGTTGTCTGTGGCATACTTATCTGGTAGGCAATCACCAAGTGGACAACAATTTGGAACATATAGTCAGGATGATGTGGATGCATTGCGGGCATTGGCTGAGGAGCCTGGAATAGTTGATTTGTTTCTGACATATCCTTATTCATTGTTATATTGTTGGTTTTTTTTTGTTTGTTTGTTTTTTCTTTAACTTCTTTTATTTCTTTTGAGTTATACTCATCAGTAGTTCTGGTAGTTCTTTGATCTGGATTTCTTAACTTCTCAAACTAATGAATGGCCTCGTGGGGTTACAAATAGGATTGCAACTAATGATTTATCACCTGGGATATCTGATTCTCTGGGAAGCGATTCCACTGTAGCAGAATTGGTAGTAGAGATTAAGCCTCGGTAAGTTATGATCATATTTTAATGACGGAAGTACATACCAATTCATGTTTTGAAATAGCTTTTTTGACCTCAGTTGAATTAATTTCCTTTTTTTTTTTTTAATAATTTTGGCTTTCGACATGATAGGTATCACATTGCAGGTTCAAAGGCCGTCTTTTATGCTCGTGAACCATACTCTAATGTTGATGCTGTGCATGTAACCCGTTTCTTTGGCCTTGCTCCCGTAGGAAATAAAGAGAAACAGGTTCACTTTCTTGCATCTGGTTTCATGTACTTTAAAAGTCATACTCAGCACAGTGCTGCCTGATTATACTATTTGTAGAAAGCCTTTTCAATTCATATCAGTAATCATTCCTAAACGTTGTGTTGTTGAGGTTAAAAACTTTTTTGCTACTTCTAGCTGCTTTGATTTGACAAGATCTTTTGAACTTCAATTTCTTGCTATACTGTGTATTGATTTGACCCAATTCTTTCGCACCAAAGGGCATACTGTACTGACGTCTAGAATTCAACTAATGTCAAACATCTTATTCATTTTCAAATTCATTAGTAGTTCCTCCATCCCATTAACATTTACACACTATTTATTGAAAGCAGTCCCATATTAGTTTGCACTCAAATGTTATTTTATTTTATTTATTAATTTTTTATTATTATTGTTTCTTTGCAAAAATGGTCATTTTCTCTCATTTACATTAAAAAAATGACCCACTTTTTCCCCTTTACGGTATAAAAATGCCTTATCATCTCCTATCTAATTTTCTCAAAAAATTGTATGATAGTCCACTTCAAAAACTCCTAAAATTTTGTGCTATGTGAATTAGGACTGAAAATGTATCTAATTATGTCTACCCCCTCGTTAGCATCATTTTCCATGACATAATTTGTCCAAAAAACTTTTCGATGTAGGCTTTGGATTAGATGTCCATCCTCAAAATTCCCCAGCACAACCTCAAGATCCTCATTTACAAACCCATCCTAACATATATTATATTCTTTTCACTGCAATTGTGGACTTTCAACATTTTATGGACCTAAACCAAAGAATGGCCCTATGTGACAAACTAAATGAGAGATTATTTTTTAGCACCCTTAATTTGTTGGTTTTTGAAGATAGCAATTAGTCAAAGGCCTCACGGTGGACGCCGAATTGTTTTGGACAAAGTTTGTCGTGGCAGGAATGTTTACGATTAGAACATCAAATTATATTTCAAGAGATGTTTTTATCCAACTACTAGCACTAGCAGTCAATCTCATAATTTTTTGTTTTTTAAAAAAATTTAAAGGTTTCCAGAATATTAGCAAAAATGTTGCTCCTTGCATTTCATAACAATCGCAATAGTTTGAGTGGCGCACGTGCCAATGCACAACTTTGACCATTAATAGTGTGAGTAAGAAGTTTAAAAGGTTGATATAATGGAAATATACATACAAACTAATCCAAAAATATTTTACTTGGCAGCATATGTTTTTTTATATATTGGTACATAGTATAGTCAAAGTAAGTACCTGTATATGAATAGGGAAAAAGTCAAATTGTTGCGATTTTTATGAAACCGAGGTATTACAGCTGGAATGAGTGGTTTCAGGTGGTGAGTAATGCATGTTGGTGGTAACACCCATGTATGAATATTTTATTTTTATTTTTTGGTTTCCTTTCCCCATCAACATTTGAATCGATGTTTCACTCAACAAATAATCTTAATACACATAAGCAGTGGGCTGTGCTGGGTGGGTCCATGGTGTGTGGCATGTGCTTCATTCCCATGTCTCCCAAAAAAGGCTGTTCATTGACCATGCATGTCTGCAAATAAAGGTAGTGTGAGGAGGGATAAGAAAGAAAATTTCAAGGTGTATTTGTGTAAGGGCCATGCTGCCATGCTCTGTTATATAAACTCATATTGATTATTCATTGTTTCTTTTGTTGAGTGCTCTTATGTTCCTTCTCTCAACAAATGGCTTTATTTCCACTCCTATATCCTGTTTGGGTTGCCTCACCATTCTAACTCTTGTTTTATTATTGTGTGGCTGTCAGAAATTTATGCATGCAATTTCACCAACTCCAGCATCAACTATGTCAGCAGCTGAAATAAGCACAAAACCTCCTAATACAACACTATCCCCATACACAGTTGTTGATGCTACACCTAGTACAGAGACTACCAAAAGACCAGGGGATAGTTCTCTTGAAGAACAGTATTGGCGTTATGATGTTAAAAAACAAAGGAAAGGAGATGGAAATGCAGAGAAACTCTGTTTTAAATTTTTGTCTTCTGGTTCATGCCCACGAGAAGACAATTGTCATTTTCGGCATGATCCAGAGGCAAGAGAACAATACCGAGGAGGTGTATGTTTTGATTTTCTTAATAAAGGAAAATGCGAGAGGGGCCCAGATTGTCAATTTAAGCATAACTTAGTTGAAGAAAGTGAAATTAATTCAAACAAAAGATCCAGATCTAATAGTGCAACTACTAACAGGTACGTGTGGCATTTGATTTCGAATTTCTCTTTGTTAATTGAATTAGTTTTCACTTATCGACAAGCATGTTGCTGTCTTGAAGTCGATTTTTTTAGTTTAGTGCTTCTGGACTTCTTCATTTTCATTCAACTTGTTCTTTTTTCGTGTTGTAGTTCAAACAATAAGCTAATACATGATGTTATTAAAAACACGTCAGGTCAAAAGAATGCTGGTTTTGCTTGTCAAGCCCCAATGTGGAGTCCCATCTAATTATTACTGTTGGAGAAAACATATACTGTGCATTGGCGAAAGGCCCATTGGTTGATGACCATGTGCTCTTATTACCAGTTGAGCACTCTCCAAGTACTTTATCTCTACCTCCAGATTGTCAAAGAGAACTTTATAAAAATCAGAGCAGTCTTCGGATGTACTGCAAAGCCCAAAGTAAGGAATACATCTTCTTCGAATTAATATCTATTCGAGGAACTCATGCCAATCTCCAGGTGAGGCTATTCTATAGTTTGTTCTTTGCTTAATGTCTATATGCATGAAACACATCCTTTACAGCTCCCAATTGCAATCACATATTGTTCTTTTGTGTTGTACATCCGTTATGTGTACATTGTGATCTTTTTCAGGCTTCTATAGTGCCTACTTCTGCTTCTTAAATTGCTGGATGTTGATTAGTTCTCAATTTTATTTAGATTCGTTCACTATTTAACTAAACTAATAATAAAAAATAGATTCCCTATAGAATTAGAAACCATTCTTGCTTTCCGAACTACCATAAGGTTAGTAGTACTAAGTCTAAAAGACAAAAGCTCTATTAAGAGAAAACTTATCAAGATGGCTGCCTGCGACCTTCACTACTCCACTCATAGAACCTTTTTTACTCAACTAACTTGCTTCCTACCGATACTGATGGCCTTAGCTTAGAAAAACGAATTAGAAAGCGGATTGACATACTAACAACTCACTTGCACGAGGAAGAAGAAGGAGAAGACAGTCGATGGTCAACTTTATGAAGTGAGTAATTGTCTTTGAGATGAAGTCTGACACCATTTTAATGCTTTTGAATGTGTAATGGAGCTGTGCTCTTATCTTGTCTATCATAACATGGGAAAGAAAGAAAAAGAAAGAGAATAATATGTTATTTTAGGCTTAGTGACTGATCAAATCCCTTGTACAGTTACGTGACTATATCTTGATGCTGTTATTTAACAGTGACAGAAACTGAATGCTGGTTTTGTGAGGCAAATGCAATTTGATACAGCAAGTTTTGGGTGTAATCGTTTGTATGACAATATCATACGCAATTTATATATGGATATTGATGGTATAATGTGACTTTCTGTTTAGATCAGTAATTATTAATGTGCTCATACCCAATGTCTCTTGTGTAGGCAGTTCCTATTCCGCAGACCAAAGCATCTTCTGTGAAGAATATATTCAATTTAGCTGCTAAAAAGCTGGGTTTTGAGTTTGAGACAATTAAAGGTAAGCTAATCTATGGTTAGCTGATATACTGGAATGAACTTTTCTTTGGTGCTTTTCCTGTCTATAATGTTGTTCCAGGAGTAGAAAATGAATCAACACAAATGATCTTTGTGTGTTCTGAATCTTTTTGTTTTTGTTTTGGGGATACTTTGTTACATACTTGTGCGAGTGTTCATTTTTTTGCTGGATCCTGGGAAAAAGTGTGGCCTTACATGCTAAAATGTCTCAAAAGTAGCTGTTTATAAATAATGTTGAAAAAATAACTAATGCTGTATGCCTATCTAATCAGTATTTATTGACGATTTTTCGTAATAAATATGGAGTTTTGTGGAAAAGGAAAGACTTGACTAGGAAAACTTAATTAAGCTCTCACATCCCTTTTAGGTTAGCTGAATTTAGATGGAAAAAAAGGTGATAGCTTGAAATCTCTTCATTGTATTGTCTACAATAATTCTGTAATTATCCATTAAACAGGAATATTTTTTTTTTTAAATTTCTACAAGATAAACTAAACAAAGAAATATTAGTTCCCTTCTTTTCTTTTCTTCCTCTCCTCTCCTTCCTTTTCTTTCCTACCATTAATGTTACGTTGCTTCATCCATTTTTCTATGAACTTATTTGGAAACTTGTTCCTTTGATCAGCATGTAGACCCTTACTTAACACTTACCCAAAACCTCCATTATCTTGAACCACCATAGAATAGATTCAAAGAAGAGGGAAAGAGAAATGAACATTATGTGATATATTTTCATAATTGGGCTTGAAATCAGAATTAAAATGAGAAGTAGCAAACAATATTTGTGTGTACGTGTATTTGTAATGTAAACATTGGGAAAAAAAAAATTATTATTATGATTATTATATATATTTTTTTTTTATCAAAATCCAGATCGTGTTTCATGAGCTGCGTATGCTTTTCAAATATACTCAACTGTTTTCTTATGTGCCCACTCGTACCTGTGTTTCATGAGCTGTGTATGCTTTTCAAGGATACCCCTCAGTTTTCTTATGTGCCCACTCGTGCCTGTGTCCGGTTAATTTTGCCTGTTGTCATTACAAACCAAACAAGCGGTATGAGACATGGGGTTCATATCCACATCTCTCACTTAGGAAAGACTTCCTGAATAGGGAGTCTCCCTTTGAATGAGTCTCGAAGGTGGGCAGTCTTACTATATTGAAACCGTCTCATACTGGGCTCAGCAAAAGCAACGCCCTACGTCCTGTATTTCAATATTCTGATGTCAATATAAGTGGCAGTTAACTTTTGAGTACAGTATTACTGTTCTCAGCAGTTAATTTTGATTTACTGGTGGTCTTTCTGTATTAGGCTAATCAATCAGTGTGTTCTTGTTTTTCAATGTTGTAGGTGATGGTACTTCTGAAGCAAGAGAGTTGTTGAAAGCTAAATTTGACGGCAAGTCTGGTTTCTTCTATGTGGAGTTACATGATGGCACTATATTGGGACACTCTATAGATGAGAATGAAAATTTTCCTGTTCAATTTGGTCGTGAGGTAATGCTTAATAAGTTTAGAAAAAGTATCTGCTTAATTTCATTATGGTATTAACATTACCTTTTCTGCCCTGCAATGTTTTGTTTATATATCAATATATGTGGTTATTTGTGGTGTCTTTGTGGGGGGGGGGGGGCTAATCCCTGCCGTAATGTTTCTATAGGTTATGGCTGGCCTGCTCAAAATGCCTGATAGGGCTGACTGGAGGAACTGTAAGCTTAGCAAAGATGAAGAGGAGAAACTGGTGGAAGATTTCAAATCTCGGTTCAAGAACTTTGATCCCAATGAAGATTTCTGAATTTGACTCGGAATGTGATCTCAATGAGTGACTGTAGAGGATTAATAGACTTAGAAATTCCGCTTTAGATCTCATTGATCTGCAGGATTCGTGCTGCATATCATTGCAGGTACTTCAGATAATCAGATCATTAAAAAGTCCTGCTGTGTGCACCAATATATTTATCTCGATTATGTGGATCTTGTGCAGGAGTGGTATACGGTGTATTATTGTTCACACCTTGACCAAGATAATGCGTACCAACTACACACTTGCCACTGGGGAAGTTCTCCTTGTATCTTCACTGGATCATTGCGGCATTGCCATATACGGATTATATGCTATCAGAGTCACATAATGCTTTGAAGTCGGCATGCAATTTATTTTGAGCTGTAATCTTGATATACTCTCATTCTGAATTTTGTTGCTCGTTCACCAAAATCTAATTATAGAAATATATTGTTGTAGAATTGATTCACTAAAGCTGAGTAATGGATGTAATTTTGGAATGTATCATTGTGTGATTGTGTCCTCTGTATAGTAACATACTAGTAATTAGGTTAAATTTGTATACATAAAGTGTTTGCTCACCCTTGGGTTTTATTGTAAAATAAAGAATTGTGAGTATTTAAATTAACTGAATGATTTTTCCTAAAAAAAAAAAAAAAAAAAAAAAAACACAACTGAATGATTATTTTATTAGTTACTCGTACTATACAAGATGTCTAAAAGAAGAAGTATATATTTACACATAGTATTCATTGTTGATTGAGATTTGAGACTAAAAATTTCAAAATGAAATATTTATATAATAACCGAGATGGGTATATTTAGGTTTAGGATATGGCCTAAAAATTAGGCGTGTGAGTTAATTCGCACTAAGGGCTTGTTTTCATACGACTATTTTCATTTCAGTTCAGCTTCTAATTTCCTTCTCTTATAAAATATTCATTTCAGTTCAGCTCCTATAAGTTTAGTTTATTTCAGTTATAAGAAGTTTAGTCAATCAGAATAGGCCCTAAGTAAATAATAATTTTATTTAACTCTTCATTTCTTTTTGATCTTCTATGTTTTAAACACACTTTCAATGTAATATGGTAAATTGGTAATTAAAATGAATCTAAAGACCATATGGCTATGTTTTACATTAAAATAAAGGACCCTTTGATAATCTCAACTATGGTCGATTTACTTTTAATAATCCCAACTATTGGGTATGCTTGCCTCTAGTGATCTCAATCGATCAATACCAAGTCAATGACCTATTGTAACAGGGAACAAATACACGTGTCAGCATGTGATCGACCCCTCCCAACCCCCGAACCACCTTAGCCAACCTACTCCCACCCGCCATACCACCTAAACTTCCTCCACACAAACAAAGAAGTCGACCCTTCTTCCTTCCCAACCCCCGAATTCGGCCCCAGGGTGGTTTTGAGGGTGTTAGAAGAGAGGGGAAGCGCCAAAGCGACACTTCAGGTTCTTTTTTGTTTTTGGTTTTCTGGTAAAGGGGAGCGAAAGGAGGGAGTGGTTTAGGAGGTGAATGGTGTTGTTAAGGGGGTTAAGAGGGTCAGACGTTCGTTTTAGGGGGGTTAGCGAGGTGGCCCACGACAGTTTTCGTAGGGGTTAGGCTAGAGTTTACCACTTGGGGGGTGGCTGGGAATGAATTTTTTTTTCTTTTTCTTTTTAAGTTTTTCTTTATATATTTTTTTAATATTTGACCCATCAAATGCTGATACGTGACTTTTTTTAAAAAAAATAAAAAATAAAATTATCCTTTCAGCAGGCTACCGGTCATTGGGACCATTGGAGACAATTAGGCAAACATACCCAATAGTTAGAATTATTAGATAATAAACATTAGTTGGGATTATTAAAAGTAAATCGGTCATAGTTGAGATTATTAAAGTGCATTTTCTCTAAAATAAATTGTGAATTTGATAGATTTCGTTTGTCATAGAATCTTAAGATATTCCAAGTGTGGCAAACAAAAACTATAAGAGTATTTTATTCTACTTGTAACATATTTGCTTCTAATTAATTAGCAACAAGTAGTAAGATTTTTTTTTTCTTTCTTAAATGGTAATTTACACTAATACATCAAAAAAAAAATCTTAACTGTAAAAATCTCTTAATTGTGCAATTACAATTTATATGACACACATAAGTTGTCAAAAATAGTAACAAATAAGTAAAGATGAAAGAATATGTGATATAAAAGAAGATTTAATTATGAAATAAAAGTAATTTTTAAAAATTGTATTTAGGTGTAGCAACTATTAAGAATAGATAGGCATATTCAAACACCTCAAAAATTCCTTTAACATATGTGCAATATATGTGTAATATTTGCGCAAATGCAATATATGCGTTATTTAAATTATGAATTAAGTCAGCAACACAATTGCATTGGTAAAGTTATCTAGCTAAGACAATTAATTAAGAAATAAATTCAGTTTCGTTGAAAGGAATCCATTCCGCACCATTGATAAATTCCTCACGGTTCACCTTTAGATTTCCCGCCCTTTGACTTATTAAAATTTTGTGTCCGGAACATTTTATTCTTGCCTTAATATTATAGTCTAACCCTATATTTTGACATTTGACGTAATATGTGTTGTTTAAGGAGGTGATGTTGCCTTCCCAAAACAGCCAATAACCTTCAAAATTGATGACATCATCCAAATAGCTTTCCATCACTATTGTTGTAGAATAAGACTTCCATAGTCAACCTAGGTATCCTCCTTTCTTTTCAAGTAATTTGGCATCCAAACTAATAGTGCAATTTTGAATGACTATTCCACTCATGTCATTCATTTCAACCCGTTCTTGTGCATACAGTTACAACATCTTGTTGACCGGTAGGTTATAGGAGTGTGTAAGAATATGTTACAATTTTGTAGTATTGCAAGAGAATCACCAAAGGTAAAATCAATTATCCCTTATATGTCGCATTCTCGGAAAAAATGTCCATTCATCATAAGGGTAGACACTAGACAGAGTGTCTTGATAGCACTCTAAGCTAAATCTATATAACATTGTGTTGTCCGCCACACTCCTAAATGCAACTGCCGGTCCAACTCCTGGACAAAATTGTTGATGAAGGATTACATATTAGCCACAAAACCAACACCTTCAATGCCTATATTAATATAAAAAATAAGTGATTTTAATTGTTAAAAATGCAAATAATCTTGTCCTACATATGTAATCAATTCCATTATTATAATTAGAAAACTAGATTAATACTGCACGAGCATTGTACGATGGTGACAAATATTTTTTCTCAATTTTTTTATATCTTTTAACGTTGATAACATTTTTAAAATCACTTGGATCACTTTTTTTTTTTTTTTTTTTTTTCTAAAAAAATTTCTTATATATAGTTTTATAAGATAAATTGATAATTATTATAAACATGTGCATATATAGTTCATTTTTTAATGATTATTATTTAATGATGTAACATAATATCTACTGAAAACATACTTAAGTGGTAATTAGACATAATATAGTTAATACTCCTTCCGTCTCTTTATTAATGTCCACTTTCTATCATTTATTACTCACATAATAAAGAGAAAGTGAACATTAATAAAGAGACGGAGGGAGTATTGTATTATATATTGAGCTTATATGTGTAGAGTAGAAGCTACTGAAAACGAGTATAATTTATCAATATCTATTAAATAATGTAGTATTGGAAATATCCAAAATTATAGAAGAGAGAGAGAGAGAGAGAGAGAGAGAGAGAGAGAGAGAGAGAGAGAGAGAGAGAGAGAGAGTAACTTATATCACATATTAAATCAGAGGAAATTTTTTTAATGAGAGCTTGATACATAGGATAATTTATGGGATTGATGATGTCGGCGAGACCTATTTTAGTAATAGTTAATAGATTGATATTAGAGGAAGTAATTAAAAACTTATTTGTTAATTGTATTAATTTACGAGGCAGCCTCAGTGTTAAATCACATCGTAAAAAGTTGTTTCCTTCTTTCTAATTCATTTCTCATTCCCTGCAACAATAGCAGAAGCCAACAAACACCATCACCAACACCCCTAACACAACAACAAATCCCACACCACTATTTTTGGTGGCAAAAGTTAACAAAAAAAATTCCTAAGAAATATATAATAGTTAGGGGCATGCTTAACCCAAAGGGTAGGAATTTTGTCATTTTCTTGTAACTTTTCTCCCTCAACTGATTTCATCGGCCTCCTATTGCAATTAGTTCATCATGAGTAGGGACACGTGATATTGCTGATATAATAACCTCGCTCTTACAAGCAAGAAGGCATCGCTTGCAGCTTCCAAGAAAAAGATGAATTGTTGTCCATCGAAAATCGATAGGCCGGAATTTCCCCGAGTGAGAAATTTTCAAGTTTATTGTTGAAGAGAGGGAGACCGATGCAATAATGAGGTAATTTCATCGTAGTTGATGAAGTTAATCATCATTATTGACATTTTCCACGCCACCTTCAATTGTCTCATACTACTATTCAAAAAAAATGGTCTCATACTAAAGTGATAAAAATGACATAAATAGCCAATTCTTCATGTAGGAAATGACTAGTGTGTTCCCTTGAAATACTTCCAAGGTTTCTAATGTTGAGAAACTTGTATTTTTCTCTTAATTTACCCTCTTTCCCTCTTTTCTGAATCATTAAAACAAACTAAAACAAAAATGTGGAAACCACGTATTTGTTTCTAGGTTTGCCCTATATATTAGAACATAATAATAATATTTCTCTCAAGTGACACCGTAAGTTGTTATAATATCGGTTAGAATAAAAATGTGGAAACTCCGGCTGCAAAGGTAGCTAGAAAAGACCCTCCCCAGTCAGACTCTTCTGCCAAAACCGATCGTCCCACGACCAGTGGCAAATCTCCTGCTGCGATGAAGATTTTGAGCGAAGGCTTAGAGCGTTCGCAGCAGAAAGCGCCGGATGCCTCCACGACATCAAAGGGTGGCCCGCCACCTAATGTTGCAGCCGGTGCGGCAACAACCGGGGAGGAGCAGAAGCCTGCGCCCCATCCGGATACCCAAGGTAAGGGAGATATTGAAATACCTTGGCCACTTGACTTCATGAGGGTCAAGACTAAGGTAGACCCCTCCGGGGGTTCAGTCAGCAACCGACAGCGGATGAATGCCAACTATGCTGCCTCTTACTCACAGAGTACTACTTTTGGTGAAGATCTAACATCCGACGAGCCGGATCTTGCTGGTTTCGCAAAAAGAATGGTGAGGACCCTCACCCGGTCAGAGAAGAACTCCATACCTGATCTGCAGGTAGTGGATTTTGACCGGATAATGGGCCAGCTGGCTGAGGTAAAAGATCCTACAACCCTGATATCTTTTCTTTATTTTAACTAAGTATACCATAATCCGGCTGCTCTTTTCTCAGGTAATGCTGAGAGTGGACGGCCCCCGGGCCCCTTCAGGCGGAAACAGGAAGAGGTAAATGATGCCAAACGGAGGGCCCTTGAAAACCTCAACTCTGCTGAATATGCTAATTATATGTGTGATTTAAAGATTAAAGCAGTAGAGTTGAAACAGGAGGAGCTGATTTGGAGTTTGACGGCTGCGAACGATGAAGCCACCACCCGAGCTGATGACCTTGAGCAAAAGCTAAAGGGTGCCAAATCTGAGCTCAAGGAATTAGAAGATGCTGAT